GGGGGGGGGGGTCAAGCTTGTTCCCTGTTCTACATTTTAGATTTCCTTCTTTTGCAGTTCCCACACCAGAGGAAATGTCCAGTCTTACTCCAGAGTCATCCCCTGAGTAAGTATCAGGAGAGCGTGGTTCCAAAAGAGAAAATTCAGCCATTTTCCTTCACCTAGTTAAAAAACAAACAAACCAAAAACCAAAAACAATTGCCTTTTGAGATAATAAATGTGTGGTGGTTATTATGGAGACTCCAGTATCTCTTTGACCACATCAGCAATTGTGCCTGCCACAAATATTTGTATTGCGATTGTGCAATATGGCTGCACAACCGCAATACAGGATTTGGGCGTCCCAGAATCCCCCAGGGGGATTTTTTTAAAAATCAATTGTTAGGAGACCATTTTCTGCTCCTTATTGAATGCTTTCTGCCTTTTTACTTTTTGGATTCTGTAAATACAGGTTTTTTTAAACTAATTTGATTATATCTTAGTGCTTTCTATGCCAATAAAAGTTTTTATTGCTAGTAGGAGTAGTATTTCCAGACCTGTACCTGTTAGATAGTTCTGGTGATAACTCTGAAAATAAGCAACGCGCAACCACTCTTCTCCACCATGTCTCCTTGCAAAGTATCACAATCTCACTGATCTCTTTTCTTTCTCTCAGGCTAGCCAAGAAATCCTGGTTTGGGAATTTTATCAACCTAGACAAAGAGGAACAAATCTTTGTAGTCATCAAAGATAAGCCCCTGAGTTCTATCAAGGCTGATATTGTACACGCCTTCCTCTCGGTGAGTGCCAGTGGGGCAGAAGAGTATGTGTTTGGGAAGGTTGGGAGAGATGGTGAGGAATGGTATAAAGAAGGTTAGTAGGATCAGGCCTACTGTGTGGTAAAGATCAGAGCTTGGGAAACATTGCATTTTTAAGATTACAACTCTCTGAATCCTCCAGCCAGCATGGCTGCTGAGAGTTGTTGTCCTAAAGCTTATGTTGCCAAGCTCTGCTGAAGATACAGTGGTGCCTTGCTAGACATTTACCCCGCATGACCATTTTTTTTTTTGCTAGACATTGACTTTTTGCAGTTGCTAAAGTGATTCGCAAAACAGTGATTCCTATGGGGGAATTTTGCTGGACAATGTTTGGTCCCTGCTTCGCAAACCAATTTTCACTAGACAACGATTTTGACAGCTCCCTCTGCGCTCGCAAAACGGGTGTTTTCGGGACCTAAGCTTCGCAAGACAGCTATGTAAACAGCTGATCGGCAGTTCGCAAAGTGGCTTTCCTATGGCCGATCTTCGCTAGACAATGACGATTCTTCCCCATTGGAATGCATTAAACAGGTTTCAATGCATTCCTATAGGGAAATGGTTTTCGCTAGACAATGATTTAGCTAAACAGCGATTTCAATGGAACGGATTATCATCGTCTAGTGAGGCACCACTGTAGTAGTGTTTGGGGAGATGGAAGGGAGATCCCTTCCATCGAATGCCCTGTGAGTTGACTTCTCCTGCCTGCCTTCACCTCCATAGATCCCCAGCCTGAGTCACAGTGTTGTTTCCCAAACAAGCTTCCGGGCCGAATATAAGTCGTCAGGTGGCCCTTCCGTCTTCCAGAAACCCGTCAAGTTCCAAGTTGACATCAGCTACTCCGAGGGTGGGGAGGCGCACAAGGACAGCGGGATCTACTCGGTCACCTTCACCCTCATCTCAGGTGGGTGCCCTGGAATCCTCCCACCGATTGGCCTTTGAGATTCATAAACTTGGTTGGAAAGAAAGACCAAATGGCCTGCCGGCCTCCTTGAGACGTTCTGCACAGTGTGCCTGTTTTCCCTTCACACTGTGAGCGAATGCAGCCATGGCCACTGGTCTAGGCTAGGTGATAAAGCAAGTGGAAATATAGCTCCTGGGTTTTCGTTAACAGAGATTCCTTGGGAATAGTGTTTCATTGGTTTGGGGTTTGTTTTTAAGAAATCCCCAGCCATCAAGATTACAGAGACCTGCTGTATCCTTTAGGAACCTACCTTTCCCTGAAGAATTGCTGTTAAACTCATCTAAGTCTGTGACATCGAGATGGCCGTAGCGTACGAGACCCTAGATCTCGAAGAAAGGATCAAATATCACTTATACCGAGAGATATTGTTTCAAAATCAGCTGTTGCAAAATAAATCAAAACGGGTTTCTAGCCATTCTTGTCAGCAAATGGCTGTTATATTGGGCCCAGTAACTTGCCTCTCTACCTGCATGTTTCAATCTGCTAACCCTACCTTCAGGACAAAGCTGAAAACTGTTTTTTGGAATCCCTTTGTCACGGATCCTAGAGGTTGACAACAGAAGTAACACTCCATTGTGGTGAAATCTAGAGATATATTTGTACGAAAAGCCTTGTTCCTTGCCCTTGGAGGGAAAGAACACGCTTATTATATGTACTGTGGTCTAATGATGAATTAGGCCATAATGGGCAAGAGGCCATTCTCCCGTGTGATGCCCACTGGGGAGAGTGGTTTCTCCATTGAGATCAGCCAGCCTCCTAGTGTGAGGGTGTTTCTGTTGTCAGTGAAAGTCTTGCTTGTCCACTCAAGTGTTTTCCTGACCATTAACCTTGTCAGTTGCCCTTGCTCGTTTCCTTGGCGTGTGTCAGTGGCTCCCAAACTGTGTGCCACAGTGCCCTGGGATACTGCCAAACCCAGCCAGGGACCCCGCGGAATCCTCTCGCCCTTGGCTGCCACCTCCCTCTTCCTCTACTTGGCCAATGGGTCTCCCTGCATGCTGGCTGGGATGGTGCCTATCGCCCTGCCAGGTGCAGACCTCTGGGTGAGCTGCGCCCCCCTCCCTGGATGCCTGCCTGCACGGGGGGGGGGGAGAGGCAGAAGCCGTTGTGCCCTTTTTGCATTGGGGAGACTCCAGGACGGGTCAAGGGAGCCACGAGTGGGAAAACTTTGGGAACTACTGAAAGATTTTACTGTTCCATCAGGTTGTCATATCACTGCTCCTAAGACTACAGCAGCCTAGTCAATGAGCTCACCAGACTTAAAAAGCCAACTGGTGAATACAAACAGAAAAATGGAGAGGATAGCTAAGTGAATTAGGGTTCTGGCTGCAGAGGTAAAGGTTGGGAGTTCATTTCCCCACTGGACACCCCAGAAGAGCCAGCCTGTGTGGCCTTGGGCAAGCTGCATAGTCCCAAGATGCCCCAAGAAGAAGGGAATGGTAAACCACTTCTCAGTATTCTCTACCTGAAAAGGGTCATCATAAATCAGAATTGATTTGATGGCACACAAATATTATATTTATGTGCTGCGTGCAGAGACATGCTCCCTCCTCCATTATTCCATGCATTCTCCTACGTGCAGTTCATGCTTCCTTATGTCTGCTGGGATAGGACATGTAAGACTAGATATCAGCAGCTGGCTGGCTTGGTTATACACGCAAATACAAAGTTATATAGGTAGGGCCCTAACAATATCCCCCTCCATCCCATCTTCTGGGATCCATCTCTGGACATCCAATTTCCTTCCTGATCTGTATGTTCACATGTGCCTGCTTAGGTCCCAGCCGCCGGTTTAAGCGGGTTGTGGAAACGATTCAGGCGCAATTGCTCAGCACACATGACCAGCCGTCTGTGCAAGCCCTCGCAGGTAAGCATAGCTCTATATCCTCTCTTATCCAGTACATATACTGTTTTTTTCCATGTATAAGATGCCCCGATGTGTAAGATGTCCCCACTTTTCTAACCCTAAATTTCTTTCTTTGCAAGAAAGTGGAGGGGGAAGGCAATTCCTGCTTTCCCAGTACATTTTGTTCCAAACATTTTGCAATGACAATGTAAGAGGAAAGCAGGATACTTTCCCCTCTCATTTTCTTTGCAAAACGTGGAGGGGGAAAGCAATTCCTGCTTGGGAAAGGGAAAAGAGGCTTTTTTAAATAGGCTTTTTTCCCCCTGCACCTTCCAGATCCCTTACATTTTTGTTGCAAACGTTTTGCAATGAAAATGTATTGCAATGAAAATATTTGCAACAAAAATGTAAGGGGAAAGCAGAAACCGCTTTCTCCCTCCATTTTCTTTTCAAAATGTGGAGGGGGAAAGTAGGGATCAAAGTGTTTTGATCCCAACCCCCTCCTTCCGTGTATAAAACGACCCTCAATTTTTCCTTGAATTATTTTCAGAAAAAGTGTCATTTTATACTCGGAAAAATACAGTACTTTGCTAGGAGCTGTCTGTCCCTGTTTTTCTAAGAGTCACTCTAATAGATCCCCCTTCACCTCATTTCATCAAAGGCATTCTAATTGGTGAATGTTTTTCTCTTCTTTTATAAGAGGGACTCAAACTGCACCCCTGCTCAATTTTCTCAACCCATTCAATGATACTGCTCAGATTTACCTTAGGGCTTGGGAAAGGGAGAAGAAGCTTTTTTAAAGAGGCTTTTTCCCCCTGCACCTTCCAGAATCCCCTTATTTTCTGTCACTACATAATATAAATAGCTTAATTTGGGTGGGGAGCTGAATAAATCCCTGCAAGTCCTACCCATGGGTGTTAGCTAGCTGGGTTATTCTGGACCTCCTGCTGTGGAGTTGGGGAGAGCTACCACCTTGCTTCTGCATTTCCCAGGGACATTTGCGAGCAAAATAATACCAGACTGGACAAATCTTGTTTTCTTCTGCAGCAGGACCCATACGTGTCTGTCTGTCCTAGAGCTTGTAACAGTCATCTTTGGGGGCTACAACTCCCAAGGTTTCTCAGCCAATATGGTCATACTAGCTGGAGGAACCTGGGAATTGTAGACCAAGAAGTAATCGGTCCAACCTCTACTTTAATTGAAGAAATGAATTAACATCCCCTTGTTTATAAGACACACATGCCTTTTCTAAACTCTACGTGTCTGTCTGTCCTAGAGCTTGTAACAGTCATCTTTGGGGGCTACAACTCCCAAGGTTTCTCAGCCAATATGGTCATACTAGCTGGAGGAACCTGGGAATTGTAGACCAAGAAGTAATCGGTCCAACCTCTACTTTAATTGAAGAAATGAATTAACATCCCCTTGTTTATAAGACACACATGCCTTTTCTAAACTCCAAATTAAGTGGGGGCTACAACTCCCAAGGTTTCTCAGCAACTATGGTCATGCTAGCTGGAGGAACCTGGGAATTGTAGATCAAGAAGTAATCAGTCCAACCTCTGCTTTAATTCAGGAAATGAATTAACATGCCCCTGTTTATAAGACACACACGCCTTTTCTAAACCCCAAATTAAGAAAACTTAGCTTTGAGGATTCAGCCTCCGGCTCAGAATGGTTGACATTTTGAGTCCATGTTGAATCTGAGCCTACAGTCTTCACCTCCAATGAGGTGTGTTCCAATTGGTTTCTTCAGCATCAGCTGATGTCAGTTCCACGAGGCTCCTGACTGAAGGAAGCCTATTTACAGAGGCAAGGTATGCGCCGTTTTGTTCTCTCCTCAGCTGTCTCAGCTTACTTCCATGCCTCTCAATTTTTAGTGTAATGATTTCAGGAAAAAGTCACGTCTTATGCACGGAAAAATACAATATATATCTAATGCTATTGGACATGTGTGTTTGTGTGTGCATACATGTGCTCATATGTGTGCTTACTGTAAGAAGTTAACCAGGATATCTCTGGCATATTGTATCTTGAATGGTTGTTCCTATGAAACAGAGAGAAGAGCAGCACTTGTGAAATTTGGAATTTTGGATTAGAGCAAAGGTCTCCAAACTTTTCACAGTGAGGGCCACATAATATATTTTCCATATTTTCAAGGGCTGAAGGAGTGTGCATGTGCACACGTATGCATTCATGCACGCACTCGCACCCGCCCACCTGCACTCCTGCACACATGGGCCAGATAAAAAGGCAAGACAGGCCGGATGTTGCCCACGGGCCGTACTTTGGAGACTCCTGGATTGGAACATGGAAAAATGACTTTCTGGAATTACATTTCCCAGCATTCACCAGCCATAATTAGTTCAGATTAGAGATGGACATGAACCGCTGGTCTAGCAGTCAGTGGAAGAAGTGTTCCACGATTTGGCATCCCACCCCCTTCCGTGAGTGCCCACTCAGAAGCAGTATCATGGCTTCCCTGCCCTGCCTGCGTTGGGCACGGCCTCTGAGCGGACACCTGCCAGAAGGGACAAGGCACCTAACATGTGAATTCCTTTCCACCTTCAGATGAGAAGAATGGGCAGCAACCCCGTTTGCCAGGCACCCCCACCCGCAGTTGCCAACCGTCTCGGCGCTCTGAATCCGACGTCTCGTCTGAACACCATCGGCGTGGCTCCAAGGACAAGAAGCTTGTCTCATCCAATGGGACTCAAGTCCAACAACCGCCACCCCCGTCCCCACAGCAGCCATGACGTCTGGGGCAGCGGGGCAGCGCCGGAACAGCCGGGGGAGGGGGGGAGCCGCCAAAAGAAGCCAACTCCACCCCCCTGGAAAGAGTGAGAGAGCTGCCCCCCAGGAGGACAGAAGCAGTCAGCGAACCCTACGGATGGGTAAAGACCCCACCAAGAGACGCCAAGGGGCAGGGCAAGAGGGTGGGGACCTGATGCCACTTTCACAACCCCCATCTCGCCCCAGGGCGGAAAGTTGCCATCTTGGGAGCAGCCCATATGGCGAACTTGTAAATAGTTAACAACGACAAACAGCAGCAGCAGCAGCAACAACAACAAAACCCCAGAAAACACAACAACTCCATGAAAGAACAGGAGGGGGCGGGGGGCGGGAAAGAACATAAAATGGAAACAGAAACAAAAGAAAAGTTGGTGGACTGAAAAAAAGAAAGGAAGAAAACAAACTGGAGGAGGAGGAGGAGCAGAAGCCGGGCAGGAGCCGGTGATTGTTGGGGATTTAAGTCTGATTCATTTCCAGGGGAGGGGAGTATGCCTTTATTTATGTGAGCCCATTTCACAGAATCCCTCCTGCTTTCGGTTTGTTCCATGCCACAAGATACACTCTTCTTCCTGGTTTTTCTTTCTGTGGTCTGTAAGGTACCCACCTATTTACAGTATCACAGCAACATTAGCTAAAATTGTGAGACAGAGCTGGTCAAATCATTCCTTGTGACAGAAGAGAAATGAAAGCATTTCCATTCCCCTTCTCTTTCTTCTTTAGTTGGTGGACTGGCTTTGAGAAACTAACGTTTGTTTGTTTGTTTTTTTGTTTTTGTTTTTGTTTTTGTTTTTTGTTTTGAAAGCCTAACCGGTTCAGGTCAAAGTTTCAAATATTTACTAGAACTCTAGAGAAATACTTTATTTAAAATTGAAAAGTTTGCAAATTTAAATCCATTAAATTCAAGACAATCCAAAGATGGATATAAAAATGGAAATTTAGATGAATATATTGGAATACAAATTAAGTTGTGATTATATAAAAGCCGTTTCCTGAAAGCTGACATTTTGCAGATTAAAAGAGAATATGCCGCAAAAAACAAAGCAGAAGATAATTATTAACTGTAAAACCAAAGCTGAAATATAATTTTTGAAATTTGCAAACGGCTGGCCCAAGAATAGTTAACATTAAATATGACAAATCATAGGGTTTGCAAGGCAGTTACAACATAGTGAAGTTATATGTAGTTTTAATTCCTACCCAGCCTGTGTTCTCAATGATGTAGATTTTCATTATTCCAATTAAATGCAATTAGGGCACATACAGGCCCGCTTTTAAAGTCTCATTTATGAAAGTTCACAGAATGGCATTGCTAGAGGTGTCAAGAGTTCTTTTTTAAAAAAAAAATATTCCTGTCAGAACACTCAAAGCAGGGTGCCAGCGGCCATGCTAGCTGGAGTATTCTTCGACTTCTACTTTTTTTAAAAAAAAAAGCGTGATCTTCCATTTTGTAATAATAGTACAGTGGTGCCTCGCAAGACAAGGTTAATGCGTTCTGTAAAAATCGCTGTCAAGCGATTTTGTCGTTAAGCGAAACACGGTTTTCCATTGAAATGCATTGAAACCCTGATAATCCGTTCCAATGGGAATGGATTGCCATCGTAAAGCGAAAATCACCATAGGAAACATTGTTAAGCAAAACGCGTTTCTCAAGCGAACACATCCGTCTAAGGAAACAGCGACCATTCAAACGCCCGTTTAGCGAAGCGAACCCGAGCTGTCAAAACCATTGCAAAGCAAAACACAGGGACCTGAAAATTAACCGTCTTGCGAGGCAAGGTCCCGACCATCATAGAGCGGAAATAGCCCATAGGAAACATCGTTAAATGGAGCGCAAGATCGCTCCGGAAAACTAATCGTTAAGCGAATTCGTGGTTAAATGAAGCAATTGTCTACCGAGGCACCACTGTAATAATAACCACGTACTGTCAATTCAGTTATGATTTATGGCCACCGTTTTCAGGGTTTTCTAGGTAGAGAGTACTCAGAAGTAGTTTTACCATTCCCTTCTTCTGGGATCACCCAGGACTCTGCAGCTTGCCCAAGACCACGTAGGCTGGCTGTACTCACGGGAGGCACTGCAGGGAATCAAACTCCCAATCTCTTGCTCTGCAGCCAGATACCTAAACCACTGGGCTTTCCAGCCACCACACTCCATTTCGTAACTCTACTTGTTTTGTCATCATTCCTTTCCATATTTTTAATGACCACATAAAACCCATTAAGGAGAGAGATGGGATAGCTGCAAAGCACTTGGAGCCCTCGGCTTGGAAACACAGCTGAAAAAGGAAAATGCAGAACAAGTAAAATTAAGTACTTCATTCACACAGTGGAACAAGTCTGGAATTTGCTATCTGAAGAGATAATGATGGCATCTTTTTTTAAAAAAAGGATTGGATAAGATCCTGGAGGATGGCATTTTTCAATGGCAGCTGCTTATGGCAGAATCACAGAATAATTAAGTTGGAAGGGGCTTGCCTATAATAAGGCCATCAAGTCCAACGTCCTGCTCAGTGCAGGAATCCAAATCAAAGCAGATCTGGCAGAGGATTGTCCAATTATCTCTTGAATGCCTCCAGAGCTGGAGCTAATTGGTTCAATTGTTGTACTGCTCTAACAGTTAAGAAGTTTTTCCTGATATTTAAGCCTAAATCTGCCTTCCTGTAACTTGAGCCCATTATTACATGTCCTGCATTCACATGGTCAATACATATTCCTCCAGTCGCATCTCGATTGTATATTAATTGCTAGGGGCCATGAACAGAATGGTGCTGTTGCACTCCTGTTGTGCCGGTGAGCGTCCCATGGGCCATTTTTGACCATTGCGGAAAAGGAATGCTGGATTAAATAGACCTTTGCCCTGATCCCCCCCTCCCAGCTATTCTTACCTTCTTAAACATCCTTAAAGTTAAACTTACGCAATAGCACATTCTAGATATACGAATCATGCTTCAAGGAATTTAAGGACTCCTGTACAGACAATACAGTATGAGAACCAATCTATGTCTGCAGAAAATGGTAAAATGCTGTGGGGGGTGGCAGACCATATATATATGGACATGGAAGTGTGTATGTCACTAGTTCAGTCAACACTCTATAGTGTTGAACTACTGACATGCATACTTCCATGTCCATAAGTTAAAAATTTCATGGCTTCCCAAAGTACTGACTAGGAAAAGAACAAAATCAGCTATAAAACTGGTTGCGCCTGTCCACAGTGAAGGCAAATCATTGTTCTATGTGGGGAATTAAAACAAAAGAATTTGTTTTGAAAGGGGAAAATGGAATATTTTAGTAATACGCCAGCTGACAGCCAAGAGGCACTCCCGAGAAGATCTGGGCTGAAACTGCCCTCCCCTCTAGCCAGAAGGGCTACAAGTTCAGCATCCAAAACCTTTAGCAAACTTTTAAAGGACTCCCGTTTACTTGTGGATAATGATCTTTTAAGTTCTAACTGGCTCTGTCTCATGTAATTTTAGCAGCCCTGTCAGAAGGGCGACAGGGAGTACAGTACACAGCTCATCTCTCCCTTCCTGAGTCCCTACTCCTAATTTCCCTATGGCGCTGAACCCACATGCACAAGGCAGCCTGGGTACATGTGTGTGTATGAACATGTGTATGTATGTGTGTGTGTATTGGAGATGGAGAGGAATCACTCAGCTATGTACTGTGGTCTCGACCGAAGAGCCTTCGAGACATCGGGCCAAATGTGGACAACATCAGAAGCACAGATCTGGGTGCAAGATTTTTTTTTTTCAGATCATGTGTGGCATTCACAGGTAAAAGTAGCAGGGAGTGGGGAGGAGAGCGCAGGTAGGACCCGGGAGTAGCAGCAAACTTGAAGACCAACGGGCCTCAACAAATCTGGGGTTGGAGTCCAGCTTTTGACCATACAAGTGGGAAACTCGAGTAGAATGTATCTCTGTGTGGTGGGATACGATCCTCCTTCTCTCTCCCATTTTTCCTCCTTCCCTGTCCTGCTTTGGGTGACTCTTCTCTCTCAGATTGGGAGGGGGTGGCACAGGATGTGGGCGATGGCGCATGCAGGCGTGCACATGAACAGGAGATGAACTGTATGTAACCTCCCCCCACCAACATATTGTCCCCTATTCTGGCCTTGTGTCTGTCTATCCCCTCTCCTTTTTTGTGAATCCAGCCTTATCATGCACACGCACACACCATGGCCCAATCTCCTCCCTGCCCCTCCATCTGACTGTCCAGTTCCTCTTATGTCATGTCATCTTTGGGGTCTAATTATTGCTCAGAAAAAAAATACAAAATACAATCACTCAAATGTTCCCTTGCTGCAGAGTTTTACCAAGTGTCATTTCTACTCAACTGTTTGTGTATGTGTATGGTGGCTGGGTTGTTCACTTCCATCTGGCAGGTAGGTGTCAGGGTGACGGTAGAATGAGTGGCTCAGGGTGGCACCATCACAGGACCTATGGGGCCCTGCTTTCGTGAGCATATCTGCACATCTTAGAAGGGTGCCTGCATGAAGTTATTTATGAACAAATGCGGGTGTGCTGGGTGTGTAAAAGACACGTTTGCACTATTATTTCTGCAAGGAGTCTGCGAATGGGTTCAAGACTTTGTGGGTATGTAAGAGAACGGCTGGCACTTCACGTGAATCAAAGTAGTTACAATGAATAAAAATGAATGGCTGCAAGATGGAAGGGGGTGGTAGGTAAATGAAGGTAAGTTTCTGTGTGACAGTGAAGGGATACTGTATAGGCATGCTAAGAAGTTGATAGGTAGTACTGAGTTTATATGAACTTGCCTGCAAGTAATGGAAAGCTTGCCAAGCTTCTTGTTTGCGTTCCAGAATCCTCGAACCAGCAAGATCCCTGGATTCTGGGAGCCAGAGTGCAAAAAAGTAACTTTTCCAAACCCTGTCCTTGCCTTGGTACAGAGTCAGCTTCACTATAGCTCATTCTTGCAGTGTTCTGATAACATCCAGCATGGAGTGAAGAAAGGGCTTTGGTGCATGTTTGTGAAAAGGGTCCCAAGGAAGGGCAATGCCAACATGTGAAGGAATATAGAAAGCAACCACCAGGAAGAGTTTCAAGGGAAGAACTGAGCCACAAAGAAAGAACGCTGAGGATTCCATATACGTAGAAATAAAATCTGTGAGAATAAGGAGGTCTACACATGGGAAGTCATGGCAGAGCTTCAGTCCTGTGCTGTGCCTGGCATGTGTTATTAAAACATTTAGGCATGCCATACGTGTATCAGAGAGAGTGGGAAACAAAGGATGGGCATTTTAGCATGGTGTAGGTGTGTAAGAACTGGATGGAAAGTGTAGCCGAGTTTTGCACATGCTCAGCTATTATAAATCCTAATCAGATCCTGTCTGGAGTAATTTCCCTTTCAAATCCTTTCTTTCCCGAAATCTTGTCAGAGAGCCTGCAAATTGGTTTTAGCTCTTTCATCTTCTACTTTTATCTCTGACATTGTTTTCTCACTTTCTGTGCAGCCTGCCTGCCAACAAGTATATTCGATCTGGATTGTAGCTACGCTACACATAAAGTAGCAATGGCTATAATCACAGGAAGATGGCCATGTCTGCCCAATTTTGGACAACAAAACATACGTAGCTTCCCTCTAGGTAGGATAGCAATCTGAGAGTTTTAGTTTATTAATTCTCCCACAAAAGAAATGAGATTGGGCGGGCAGGCGCTTATCATGATAAATAGTTAAAATCTTAGCTTGGCAGACAGGAGTCAAGGAACCTTTTTTTCATTTCTTTGAGCAAAGTCTCAAAGGGGCTTTTTAAGGCAGAGGAGATTCTTGGAACAGAATATTTCTTCTTTCAGTAGAGTAAAATAATTCTGTCCTTTGTGTAGAAGTGAAATCAGAGGATTATTTTGGACTATTTCCCTACAAGAGGAAGAACACACAGTATGTTGGACCTGGCACTGCTAAAACATGGAGGGGAAAAAATGGATCCATATGTATGAACCTTATGAAGGACATTTGGCTTATTCCTGCTCCTTTGCAGAATGAACTCGGTCCAATGAGGAATCACAACTAAGAAAAATGTCCAGGCTGGCAGGAGGACATGGCTAGTCTTTCAGCGAGGATTCCCAATTTCATTTTCCATCCTAATGGGAAGCTGGAACTATCTTCCTGCCCATGGAAGGGTCACTGGATTTTAATGATCTTTCCCGCTTGAAAAAGTCAACCTGGAAATCCATCTGTATCGAACAGAGTCACAGAGAGCCATTGTCCCTCGCAGAGGTATCAGAGAGAGAGCGTCTGTGTTGATGCCTGTGTATCTCGGGTCTCTGGATCTGCCCGTTGATGATGCACATGGACTGAGCAGGATCCTATGTGCCAGAAATCCACTGCAAAGAGGCCGAAGAGCAAGAACAGGTCCATGGCCAAGGCCCATTCACAGTACGCTGACTCAGAATGTAGTTTCAACCAAAAAAGGACAGCCGCTGAGTTTAAAGGTTAAGGAGAAGGACCAGCCTTTGTTTACCAATCCCAAAATAGATCTAGACAGGGCTGGCTTCTTGGGTAAGACTCCATCAATACATTTCATTCTCCTCACCATTTCATCCCATTTGAGCCAGAGACAGATGAGTAAATGCCCCTTTCCCGAACAGGTCAGGATGCTTAGCGTGTCCCCAAACATGCTAACTCCTAACAACTGCCTTAGAGAGGCCCCAGATTTAGGGCTGCCTGTGGTGAACATTACAATTACCTGATGTCAAGTCAAGTCTGACTTATGACAACCTTCCCAGGGTTTCCTAGATAGAGAGTAAAGAGAAGTGATTTATCAGTTCTTTTTTCTGGTGGTGTTCTGGGACCATACAGCTTGCCCAAGTCTATATAGGTGACAGGGCACATAATCTCATCAGCCATACATGGTCTGGATGATCTTGGCTGGCCCTCTCCTGAGAGGAACAGAGAGGCTTCAAACTCCCAGCCTCCAGTTCCAGAGCAAGGTGATTTAGCCCCAAGCTGTACTTTAGCTTAACATTACTCCATGGACATTAAAAATACTTAATTTTTTTGGAATCACTTGATGCCAATCCCACAGAAATTTATCTTCCTCAGTCCTAAACACCTAAACAGCACAGCTTCAAGGAAAAACCCCGTGAAGCTGACAGCTCCTCTAAGCAACAACGTGTGTGCAGAAGTAGTTACAAGTTCATATTTGATGCCTTTCAATCCCACGTGAGTCCCACCATGAACTCTGTAGTTCCTATCCTGCCCCCTGAATCCATCTTTCCTTTTTTCCACTTGAGGATACCGGCAATGAGGAAGACAGAGCCACAAAAGGTGAGGGAAAACCGAAGAGGCCCAATCCACGGTCCTCCGTGTCTTGGCTTCACTCGTTCTGTCAGAAAGGTCTGGATCCAGAAATAAACAATGCCGACCACAAAAGCGAGGAAGGCCCCAAATAAATGGGTTTCTACTTGGTTGTATTGCTGTTGAGAGAAAACAGATCAGAGCAATGGAACACTTCTTCCTAACAATATCATTCATCCTCAGATTAGTGTGTTGGGTGATGAATCCCATAATCAATCCCATGTCCCACGGTTTGTCCCCTCCACCCTATTTGAGCCGCACGATGCCTCTCTCTATGACCTATTTTAAAAGAGCAGCTAAGGAGTTCCTCACAAAATGTAAAGGGGTGGACATGTGGTCCCTCCCTGTAAATTCAGCAGACTGGTTGATTGATACCTCACCTTTCTCCTTCAAAGTTGCCCCTTGAAATCTACCACTTACTGCAGAGCTTGGAAAAGTTACTTTTTTGGCACTGTTTACTCCCTCCTAACAAGTTGATATTTGTCCTGGCTTCCAGCAACATCTTACCTGGAAGTTGCCCACAATAGATGCACCAAGGGCGCAGAGGAGGCCTGTGATAAGCCCAGCTAGATTTAAACGGGACTGACAGCCATAGTCTCGCACCTGTTGGTACTTTAGGTAGCAGATCACCGCACCTGAGAGAAACACTGTGTTAAATTCAGTCCATTTCAACCTCTGAGACTTATATTTGTTTAATCAGTGAGGGTGTTGGATTCCATAGCCTTATAGGCCCCTTCTAACTCAATTATTCCCTGGTTCTATTAATTATTTCCTACAGCCTGAAAAGCTCACGCCTATCGTCCTGTGTAAACAGGGACACCGTTGCAGTGTCTGGTAACCAAAAGGAGAAACGCAAAACAAGAAATCAAGCTTACCTAGAAATGCTCCTAGGTTAAGAACTTGACCAAACAGACAGCTCTGGGGTGGATAGGCACCACAAGTGCTGAGGAGAGAGACATGCTTGGAAAATTAATAGGGCTGGAACCAAGTCTATCTATCTATTTATTTATTAGATTTCTATCCCGCCCTTTTAGACCCTCCCTGCTTTTATCCACAGAGAAAATTCAGCATGTTAACAAATGCCATTGTGTTCCATCACTAACATGACGTCCACCGGCAGTATTGGGCTACAACCCAAATGAGGTTGAATGAGGGTTAATGGTCTTGCTTTTGTTTTGGCCAAGGGACAGACCCTGATGAAGAAACCCAATCAACACATACCTGATATATGGAAATGCTTCTGTGATGTTCACGGAGCCATTTGCAACTGCCATGGCAAACCTGAAGGAAACAGGAATTTGGTGAGATACATTTGCCAAATAAAAGCTTGTTACACTATTCTTAATTCATTTTAATAGCACACAAGCACATTAGGTAAAGGTAAAGGTTCCCCTTGACATTTAGTCCAGTTGTGTCCAATTTTAGGGCACAGCGCTCGTCCCCGTTTCCAAGCCATAGAGCCAAGGTTTGTCCGTAGACAGTTTACATGGTCATGTGGCCAGTGTGACTTAGACACGGAATGCTGTTCCCTTCCCACCATGGTGGTACCTATTTATCTACTCACATTTACATGCTTTTGAACTACTAGGTTGGCAGGACCTGGGACAAGCAACAGGAGCTGACTCTATCATGTGGATTCGAACTTACAACTGCTGATCTTCTGACCTTGCAGCACAGAGGCTCCTGTGATTTAACCTACAGTGCCACCATGTCCCTACATTAGCGCATTACTCCCTCTTAGATCCCATAGCAGGATGTACATATATATATATACCTTTATATATATATATACACACACACACACACCTTTACCTAATGTGCTATTTAAATGAATTAAGAATAGTGGAACTATATATATAAAGAATTAATGGACAAGATGAGTGGGCAAATGGAGAGGAGAGAGGCAAAGAATTAACTTTCTAATATCTGGTATTTTTAAGACTGGGCCTATAAGAGTGCTGCAATCCTGCTAATGCAATACTTCTTTAGAAATTAAACTCTGCTAAGATCTTTACAACTCTGATCCTTAGACAACCCAAATATAGGCATGCAAATCATATGAAAAAAAGCAAACTAGCTCAATTGACACCATGTGTTCTGATTGAATAACATCTAGGACAGCAAGATAGAATTCCAGATCTTTTGCATAAAGGTAACCAAGCTGCATACCCCAACACCTTCTCTAAGGTTAGCAAGTCATCAGGGCCATGCTTATTCCTTTAATGTCCCTTGCTATGGAGATATGAAGAAATCACACTAAACACCATCCCCAAGTCATCAGGGCCATGCTTATTCCTTTAACATCCCTTGCTATGGAGAGATGAAGAAATCATACTTTTTTGCAGGGAACTAAACACCCCCTCCCTTGCTGGTTGCTGCCACTCAGATTGGTACTAAAGGGAAAGTTGTAGGGTTATGTTCAAAAGATACCAATTTAAATATAGGAGAGTGCCTCTCACTCTACTTAGGAAAGTAGTAGTTGGAATTTGTATTAAAGAGGAAATCTTTGCTCCAATTAAATCTGGCTTTTCCTGTTAAGAAGGAAGTAACATGTTTTATAAGAGGTCAGACTATTTATCCATCTAGACCAATACTGAATACTTCAAGAGGTAGCTGTTCTAGAGATCATGATGCCCCAACCTTTTAGCTGATGATACCTGGGTTTGAACCCAGTACCACTGGCACACAGAACAGGTGCTCTAGCATGATCATCGCCATACATCTTCACTTCCTGTTAGCCAACTCAGCCGATCCTCAGCCTTACAAACATAACCCCACCCAACCAGCCCGCTCCGTTCATTGATTATTACTCACACAGCCCAGAAGCCGACAATACCAGCTACAGCCAGCAGCACAGGAAGCAGAGCCCAGAGCCACATATTGGCCGAAGACCTGATGAAAAAAATACAAGGAGCCCATCAAGAGCTGCTGAGAAAGCCAAGATTCCTTGGTCCTTTGGGAACCATGTTGGGGAAAGCTGGAAGGGATCTCAAGGATCGCTGATTTCTACCACTCCATTATGACAATATGGGCCAGGTTGGGCTTCGCCTTTTTGTTGCTTCTAGAGGCAATCTAGACGATCGGCTACCAGCCAGGACTACATGGGACCCTTGGCTAGGGCCATAAAGCAGATGATTCCAAAACTCTGCTAAGTTCAGAAGACTTCATGTCTCCTCTCCAGATGGTTCCTGCCTTGCCCTGTGCAGTAGATGTTAAAGAAAAGGAGCCAGGAAAGAACATCTCCTGGGGGTATACTTATAAACTTTCTCAGCCACACCTCTCCCCTGGAGGATCCAGCCAGTCCTTAAAGCAAAACGCTCCCTTTCCTGTGACTATGTGGGGCAGGGCTGGTGAGGAATGTGTGGCCCTGCTGATATGGTTGGAATGAAATGCTCACTGTCTTGTTAGAGAGCATAGCTCATGGTGAAGGACGCAGTCCACCAACCTGGGGAGAATGGGCCCTTCCCCTTCTCTACTCTAGAGACTATTGGGAGAATACAATGAAAATGAGTCAGACTCTATTACACCCGAATTTGGCTCCTGGCGCAGATCTGGTGGCCCTGCCATATGGGAACTGGCCAAGTCTGGGCTTCCTTCTGGGCCTCTGGAACAGGGAGTCTAGAAATTAAGTTTTCTGGGGCTCGTTCACTGGGCAAAGAGGGTTTCCTTACCCCAGCGTGAGCTGCCAGCTGCTCTTCTTCCTCACCAGTTCAGGAATACACCTTTAACTTCCGCAGGTGGAAAATACGTTGTGCCAGTGTGCCTTCTGATAACCCCACCCCGAGTCTGACTGCTTCTGCCATCGGGCAAAGGGCACGGTAATAGTGCAATTAGGACGAGACTTCTGCTCTCATGGACTTGATTGCCATAGAAATACCCTGTTTCCCCGAAAATAAGACCTAACCTGAAAATAAGCCCTTGTATGATTTTTCAGGATGCTCTTAATATAAGCCCTACCCCAAAAATAAGCCCCAGTTAAGTGAAACCCTGCCCTCCACCCTTCTGCAGCAACCAGAAGAAGATGACATATCTGTATTTGACTAAATGTAGATAAGCCCTAATGCGTTTTTTTGGAGCAAAAATTAATATAAGACCCTCTCTTATTTTTGGGGAAACACGGTAGCACACTGAGCAAAAAGAGAGACAACCTCTATGATTTGTTTGACATGCTTAGCCAATGAGACCTCTCTCCTTGGAACAGAGATCCAGTATTACTGGATTCTCTGTACGCGAAGTTGGAAATGGGTGATGGATGGTCCATGTGTTGTTGTTGAACTTCAGCACTCATCAGCCGTGGCCTCCACAGCCAACAATGAGAGATGATGGGAACTGCAATCCAACAACACCTAGAGCCCACACAATTTCCTGCCTGCTGTACGGGGATATTTGTGATTACAGAATTGGTGAAAGGAGTATATGGGAGACGGAAGCCACGGTTCCTGCATTCTTTTAAAGGGGGTGAGTTGTGTCTGCTTTGCTGTTTTCAGATATGAAGAGCTACTAATCTTGTTCAGATGTCATTTTCAGATCTTCAAAACCTTGGCATGCTTTTGAAAAATGGAAAGTGTCTTTTAAATCATGCGATCATACCGTTGTTATCACAGAACATGGCAGAAGAGGACAGAGCTTCTACATACTAGTGGCTGCATAGACCAGACCACAGGTGGAGAACTTGTGGCCATTGGTATAGCAGAACAAGGGCCCACAGCATCAAAGCCACAGGATTGATTGGCAGGGACTCTAACATCATCTGCAATGTTCTTCAAGCTTCCTTGCTCCCTTCAGATTACACATTCCTTTCCCCCCCCCCCTTTGCATGATGATTTCCTCTTTATTTGCCTGCTTCACTCAAACAATAGTTCATGTCATTCCAAATGGACAAAATATACTTAGTACTAACTAGGATCAGCTCCAACTTGTGAGGCTGACTCCGTATTTAGTCATGATTACAGGGGCCAGATGAAATTAAGTGGCCTTCAAATAATCAGAACTAACTGAAATCCCATTCATTCCCATTAGCCAACTCCATAAGTATGGATCTAAGTAGGGTTTTGCAGTCCTACATCAATTTGTGGTTTGTAGGCAAGTTTTAGCTATAGTTTCCTTGATTCTGGAGACATGACAAAAATTACACAGTAACTAGATGATGAGAGGTTTTCTGTGTTATCTCTCTTGTAAATGAATGCTGGAGAACGTACTTTTTTCTTTTTGACAACTTGTTATTATGGTGACCATTTACTTATGGTGCAGTTCTGCTTCTCAGTCCACCAAGCTTCTGCAAGTTTGTAGTTTCTTCTTGTGCCTTTTATACAAGTAGACAATTTAAATGGGTAGTTATGGGGTGAAATTGTGGTTTTGTAAACTAGCCCCACCCTGGGTTATGACGTAAGGTTTCCTTGAGCCTTCTGTGTTATACTGAAATATGTTTCCATGCGGGAAACTTTGAGCAGTATGCCAGTTACTCAAGGGAAGAGCACATCTGTGAGAAACACTTTATATTATGGAAGACCTGTTTCTTTAACAGAGTGGCTTAGGTTTCAGTTACTTCTCCTCTGTCTGTAGTCCAGTCTGGAAGGAACTGGTGAGTCCAATGTGATTTGTGGCTGTTGCCAGTTTGCTTTGTTTGTTTCTACCATGGCTTTAAAAAATATCTTAAATTGTATTGATGTCTGTGCAGAGAAATTTGCAAAAAGAAAAGAACTCTTAAGTTTGAAAGGGAAAAACCATGAAAAGTAAAGAAATGCAAATCACAGACCAGGTCCTTTGCTAAAAACAGGGGCACACATACAGTATACATCTTTCTTATACCTTAACTTCTTCCCCAAGCAAACACTACAATGCAATCTACTAGCTAACCTATCCTCTGCGTAGTGCATTAGGAGTTTATATGGAAGAGCAGAAATGAAACAAGTTTTTGAAAATATCATCAAAAAGCAGATTAATGGTATTGTTCTACTGACAGTTACATAAATCTTGACTAGTGTGATACAATTGATTCATATTTGAGAGAATGAAGCATTTTGTGGTCTTAGTTCCAGTTAAACAGAGGCCTTTCTCTTTAATTTGGGAATAAATTTTGGTGCTCACCTATGTTTACTTGGGGTGGAAGTTAAGACACAGACAAAAGTGCAACAATGTGTGTGTTGTCAATGAGGGGATTAATCTGTCTAAATTCTCTTACTTTGGAACATACAGCTTCTCCCACAATGCTTTGGCTTTAAATTGAATTTTTTTTCTCTTTTGGGAACAATCAGAGAAAAAAAGCCCACACCATGGTTTATAATAGCGTTCTCCAACCAGGTATTTTCCAGATGTGTTGAAATGCAACTCCCATGATCCTGATCCTCAGCCACTACTACATTGCTTGGGCTGTCTGGGATAATGCAGCCCAGCATACATATAATGGATGACGTAGTACAAAGTATTGGGCAGGTGCAAGTTTGAGGAAGGCAATAATAAATAAAAATAAGAATTTTGTGGTAACCAAGCCCTGGAGGAACTGAGAGAATAAAAAATACAGGATTTTTCATGAAAGTGGTATTTCCTGAGTGGGTTTAGAGAAGCCCCGTTCTGTCTTAATGGTGTTCTTTCTCCCTGGCAGGCAATTGCACAGAAACCAGAGCTTAGGAAAGGCCACTTTGAGGGACTACCCTCCCCAGAATTCCCCAGCCAGCAGGGTGAAGCTGTGGGTGAGAATTTTCCTCTCACAATCACTGCTGCTCCAGGCTGGAAAAAGGCTACAGCTGTTTGTAATGTGACTTAATAGACACAGCAACCCTACACCATGGAAGGGAATTAGTAAAGCTTAAAGAACTGGAGGCAGAGAACCAGCTATTGTTAATTTCTGTTAATTAGGTCTGAGGCTAATTTAATGTAGGAGTTTGGGAACCAGACTGTCCTGCTCAGGCTTCCAACTGTGTGAACAGAATCCATCATAGGGCTAAGAGTAAAATGGGGAGAGGTGGAAATCGGAGGGAGGGAGGGAAGTGGAGAGAAGCCTGTGGTGATGCTTGTTTGGAAGGTCTACTTGAGACCAAAAGGAAGGAGTGAAGGGGAGCAAAGCCAGTCCTTCCCAACCTGAGGTGTTTTGCTGCCCAGGGACAAGATGGTGCTTCCCTGTTTTGTATACAGAGTCCACCTGGCCTGGCTATTGAATCCAGAGATGGGAAAAACTGGCCAGAATCTTCTGGATGATTTACTGGTGCATAGGTCTAATTGCATGACTCACTTTGGTGAATAGCCACTAACTAACAAGGCACCAGTCATGTTACAAGGTGTATGTCCAGTTACAAAATAGGCAAAGCCTTAGTAATGCAACAGGTATCTTATTAGTTAGTGACAGCTAACACCCCAAAAATCGCATAAGACAGATGTAGATGCCAAATGCAGCAGTGACAAAGACGGCTGAAGAATTATGCTTACTGTGATGCAAACATTGGTGAGATTCATTTTTGGACAGTACCCAGAATCCCCTAAACTCCACGGTCAGTGGTTATGAAAACCAGCTTTTCCAAGCTCGGATTTATGTTACGGTATAAACTTGCCAGCAAGCTAGATAGCTCATTGAGTTGGATATTTTGCTACAGAGCTAGAAGTTGGGAGTTCAATTCCTCACTGTGCCTTCTGGGAGAAGAGCCAGCCTGTGTGGCCTTGGGCAAGTTGTACAGTCCCAGGATGCCTCCAGAAGAAGGGAATGGTAAACTACTTTTGAGTAGTCTCAAACTAGAAAACCCTGAAAAGGGTTACCTTAAGTCCTAATTGACTTGTTGGCACATTGTGATCATTATAAACTTGCCACGTGTTTTTGATGTATCTTCAGGGACAGGTCATGGACCAGGGAGAGTGGCTCTCTTCCCAATTTTTTAGCAGAGGTGCCCCCCCCAAAAAAAACCCTAATCATAAGCCACCAATACTGATCTTAGGTTGAGGGCAACACACCACTTACATGGACCAGGGAGAGTGGCTCTCTTCCCAATTTTTTAGCAGAGGTGCCCCCCCCAAAAAAAACCCTAATCATAAGCCACCAATACTGATCTTAGGTTGAGGGCAACACACCACTTACATGAGGCCAGTGAAGTTGCATAGGATTTTTGAATTTAGGAGTATGAAGAATGAACCATTGAATTTGTAAGGAGTGTGGAAAACTGATTCTGGCAAACAGGGGCCAAGCTGCATTTTACAATCTAAGGATCAAAAGGCAGTCACAAGGACC